TTAACGCAATGTTTAATTTTAATTAAGAATCACGACAATTAGGAGTCAGAGTTTCTGCAGCATCTGTAGGCATCTTGTTCTACAGAGACAATATGATGAAACACAAACACAGGAACCTTTTCTTACTGTAAGTCTGAGTCCTGGTATTTCGGCAAGGTAAAACAACCTTTCAAACTTTCCTTTTTGTTTGTGATTCTCTTCTAGCTAAAAGTCCCAGCTGCTAGGAAAAGATGCATCAGGGTCTGTGGAAGCACACACAGCGGGAGCCACAGCTTTTAGAAATAATAACTGAAAGGGGTAGCAAGTTCTATCATAAATGCAACTTGGCATTTTTCAGTTACTTAGAGTATCGACATAAAGCATGGCTTTCAAACAAATACACCACCTGAAATGTAGCGATTACTTCCTTCCAAACTTCAAGGTCACTTCAAAAGCTGCAAAACATCAGAGCTGTCCGAAGTATCGGTTGGAAAGGATGAAAAAGGAATAGTGTTCTCACCTCACTGAGGATGCTTAAATTCTATTAGATAAAGCTTTCCAATTAATTTTGACTGGAGGGGACTGGTAACAAGCATGGGAAATTTCAGCCTTAAGCACTGAAAATTGTCAAAAATATGAGCAAGTTAGACGCTCTGCTATTTTACCGTCCAAAACATAGACAATACAGACATTCACATGACTTTTTAAGTGAAAATCTTCTTGTAATATACATTTTCAAAAGAATAAGCAACTTAACTAAAATACCCTAAATTTCCTTGTAGGGCACAACATAACGATTATTTTAAAGCCAGCTCATCTTAGACAATCAGATTTTTGCTAGCACAATCTTTGCATAATTGTAAACACAGCTTTTTATTAAAAAAAGCCACAAAACCCCCTCTTTTGCTACTATTTTTATTTGTCTAGTGTCTTCCAGATGGGCTTAAGAATACGTCCACCCATGCTTCCATACTCTTATTTCCTTTTCTGTGCTCAGATGCCTCCTTGCTGCTGCTATATTATTTCTCAGCTTAAACATTCAAGAGAGGAGTAAACAACCAAATTTTTCTGCACTGTCCTTTCAGTAACAGCAATCTTATGACAACAAAAAGTAGTAATATATTCAGACATTTGTAAGATTTCAAAGCTGTATATTTTAAATGTTGAACTGGCCACATCAGTTATATGATGTATATGAAATACAGAAAATATTAACCCACTTCACTAAACAAAGCCATGCTTCGTTGAAAGTGAGATCAGAAAATTAACGGAAATATAAGAAAGGAGAACAAGGTTTTGGAAACATCCCACAGTTGCGATTTAGATGTAGTGATTAAACCAGGGAAGAACACAGATGTCTACCGACATTTTGCTTTAAAAGGTTTAAAGAAGACTTTCCCCTTCGCTTAAGGGTTTACAAATCAGATTCAGTTACAGGAAAACAATGCTGCAATCTTCATTTACAACAAACCCTAAATTTAGTAAGCGAAAGTCATTGGTAGTAACAAACAGATTTGAGCATAAAGGGAGTTGGTACCTGAGCTACGGGAAGGGCAGTCCATAAAGCCCAGGCTCCTCCCGCTCCCATCCTTGTATACCAGCTGCTTCTTTTGACTTCAATGACTGTCTCAGCGCAAGTCTTTCTATAAGCCAATATCGCTTTTCTTTATTTAGGAAACCAGTATGTTGGTTTATATATATAAACAGTATGTTTATAAAATTATAATTCATATTTTGTAATATGTAAACAGGTACCCATTACTTAGAGGCCACAGATGAGCATAATATTAAATAGTAATAGAAAACAGCTGCGTTTTCCTTTTCCAATTGTTTGTATTTCTAAAGCATCCACTCTTTAAAATATTCTCCATACAACTCAAAACATGTTGTGCCTGAATGAAGGACAAAACAACAGTCGTTTTCAAATGCTGCATTTCCTGCAATACTATGCAAATTAAACTTCAGTCTTCAGTCCGAGTAGACAGGGTACTTCAAAGGGTATAGCAACAAGAAAGGTTACTGCGGTCAGGTGGCAGGGAGAAAAAGGCATGCTTCACTCCACTGCACAGATTACCCGTACCACCACCCAAGCAACCTTGATATTGCAATCATTTATACATGTGTGGTTTTATGTGAGCTAGCCCACTTTTTGCCCTCATTTGCCACAACACAGTTTTTATCTCTCTCCCCCTCTCTATACACACATAGGTACGCCCACACAGAGACTGATACACGTAAGTATATACATATACAAACACAATTCAACATATCCAAGCACTCTTACTTTGTTGATATAGGTTAGCATAAAGCAAGATTTATTTCAGCATTTCCTTCAAATGTCTACAGTACATGCCATCTTCCATGTCAGTACCAACTACAGGTGAAAATTATGTGCACAGGTTTATCAATCATTAGAAAATAATGCACTCAAAACAGACGATCCAGAAGCTTTCAAAGCTCTCATCACTCTTGTCCTGAAGCAGCTTACAGGCTAACCTTTTGAGAGATAAAACAGAAACACTAAAATCACTTAACAGTTGAGGGACAGTCTTTGTGTGATCAACAGTGCTTCAAAATATACTAAGTACTTTGACCTAGCTTACCTTTTGCCTTCATCTGCCACAAAACAGTGTTCTGTTATATATTCATTTATATTTGAATATAATTGTGTAACCTGCACGATAGCAGTATCCAAAAGCAGCTAGGTTAGGCAAGAACCTAGATTTCCCCAAAAGGGGAAAACGGACGTGGTTACAAACCCACAGATACAATCTTCTGTGTGTCTGCAGACTCTCATGAATAAATCCATACAGAACTTGCAGCTGGGATTTCAGACATTTCATAAATAATATCAATTCGCTGTTTGCAAACCTACCTGAAGTCAACAGGAATTGATGATTTTCTTTCCCACGTATCCCAAAATTACCTGTAGTTGCCAAATGATATCTCGGCTACCACCTTACAAAATAAGCCGCTGCTAGCAGCTAACTGAGTTGGCAACTCACTTGCAAACAATGTTTCTAGTAGGTTTGTTGATTCTAATTCCTCGGTATAGTTTTTATTTTAACTTAATAAAAAGATAGCTTCTATAGAGGCTCAGGTCTCTTGTGAGAAAATAACTTGACTTTTACTTTCCGTGATTTTAACCTTTATCAGAAAAAAAGCTAAAAAGAGGCCCTGGTATACACAATACTAAAATCAAACTATGTTAACAAGCAGTATTTGGCCTTCCTATACTTTTAAACCATTCTCTGCAGTTGGTGGCGATTGTTTCTGTGAAGATCAAATAAAGTGTTAGTACCCATATATGCCAACATAAAATGAAACACAAAAAATTAATCTAGTGTCTACACACGCAAAAAAACCCCAAACAAACAAATTTCAAGCCCCTCCATCTTACAGGTTGTAAAGACGACATGAAAACAGCAGCCGTTTATAAATCGGTATAACACTGGTATACCAGGAGGGAACTCATTACTTGCTTTGACTTTGAAAAGAATTTATCTGTTCTTCGGATTAAGTTACAGCAGAGAGGCCCCGCCAGCCCCTCTTCACCTTCTGTGGATTTGGCCCCTTTCCAGCTCGGGAAACTAACTGTGCTCCCTGCTCCACAACGTGCAGCTCCTTGTGCCGCAGCTACTTCATTGTTAAATTTACCAGTTGGGTGGTGTGGAATGGGTTACTTAGTTTTTAATTATATTATCGTTTGTGAAAAATACTGATTATAATTTTGAAAGGCCATTACTAAACACGTTCTATGCACAGTGCAGAACAACAACTCTACCTTAAAGTCCTCTGCTTCACGTTTTTCTTCCATCATTTCATGTACACTTTTCTTTTGGAAAAAGCAGATACTTGGGTTCAAACCACACAAGACAGGCACTAAGCCCTAGGCTACAATACCAAGTTAAACTGGGGTGCGTGTGCGCATGTGCCTATGTGCACACTTCAGCAGCTGATAAACACCCGGACATATTAACCACTGCACAGCAGCTGCAGCAAATCAAATTCAGAAACCTTGCTGCACCTCCTATATGTTTTGGTATGCACTACCAGTTATTTCTACATTACAACTGAACGAAGATCGTATGAACAGAATGTAACTAAGCCAGACAGCTCTTCCAAAGGAAGAATTACACTAATATTAGAAACCCATAGCATCGGGTTTTCTAATCCAGTGCATAATCATCAAATGAGGGAAATTTTGTTTGAAAAAGTGAGATGGTGGTGTTAGTTCTGTTTCATGTACAGCAAGATATTTATAGTAACCACATATAATAAAGAACAAGCAAGAGTATCATACATGTCATTAATATGATTGTTATGCTGCAATTTTTCTAGTTACCACAAACTTGCAAACATTTGCATGAAGTAAGAGCTCCAAGTTATACTAAGAAGAAACAACATGAGTTCACGTCACTACAAAACAAAGCATCAAGTAAGATTCACACCAGATGAGTACCCGACACCCATGATATCTTAACTTTCCTGAGCAGTGCTTCTTCCCAGCATTCTTCCTCCATCCTTTAACTGCTCATTAACTGTTCCATGATATACCTACACGCATTGGCCAATATCCTTCCGTAAGTGTGTTTATAAACTGAATGCAACACTTCAGAGAGACAGCTATAATTACTTCAGATTTCAAAGCATATCTAACAGCCTGCTGGCTCCTCTGCATGTCCCTGCAGATCAGTTGGGAATGATCATTCTGCATGTATCTATTTTTGCAATTTTGGAGAGACTATAACTAACCTTGAGATAGTGCAACTGAACTGGAAGTTAATAAAAAACATTTATTGGTGGGGGGAAAAAAACCCAGAAACTTCTGACCTGCACTGTATTTTGTTTTCACACCATTCACAGAATATTTTGAAGGAATTCATCAACTTAATTTTTCTTTCCGTATCACCCAAAGGCCCTGACAAGGCATTGAGAACAGCTATCAATATAAAACATCACAGCCATACAGGTATTTTCATTTTTCCTAAAAAGTCAAAGTCAAGCAACTATGTAATTACCTTGCTTTCTTCTATAATTAGAAGATACGGTATGTTGGGGAAAAGACTACATCAAGTCAACACGCCGCCACAGCACAGCGTAAGGGTGTACTCTGCAGCACAGCTGTGTGTGTCTCTTTCAGCAGAGCTTCGATGTTTGCTGGAATTTTCCTATCTGCTTCAATGAAAACCAACACCTCTAGGTTTCACTGCTGGCTGTTTATGCGAAACTAAAGTTAGAAGCTAAGCTGAGCACCATCGGGGGGGGTGGGGGTGTCAAGACAAGTGTGTGGCCAAGTAAGAAGATGCAGGGGGAGCCTGATCTCATTCTTACTCAAGCAAGGAAATAAAGGAAGTAACTTTAAGAGTTATGCCAATAAATCTTACCCTGCAAAGCAGATTTTGAGATGACAGAGACAGATGCGTGTTTTTAAGTAACATGAAATACAGGCGCATTTCATGGCGAGCCAGCTACCCTTCTATAACTAGTCTAAATGCCAATTATAGCAGACAATTTGAGCTAAATATAAAAAGCCATGAATCTCACAGTTTGAGATAACTTCCAAGGAGGTGTTATAGTTAACTTTGAAACTACACAACAAGACTTCAGCCTTCTCACAACGCATACGTTATCGCAGAACACCCAGGAAAGCACAACCATGCCCATCAAAGCACCCCGTGATTTGTGGGAACAGAAAGGCTGAAGAGATTATGTGGATACTTCACATATTTCTCCAAGAGTAACAGCAGGAATTTTCTGCTCACAGAACTTCAGGGATGAGAACCTGACTGTGCAAAATATCAATGGCAAGACTTCAGCTAGTAGCTTCGGTAATCTCTGCATGTGACCGGGCTACGGTCACTCCTCACTGCGGCAGCTGGATTAGCGAGGCTGCCATGGGAATACTGCGACGTTTGGCGTTCTGCAGCACCAGTAACCTGCAATGGGGAGAGGACAGGGATCCAGCCTGCAGACAGGCTTGTAGCCTTCAGCACTTCATCTTTTTATTAAAATAATTCCTCCATTCCAACCTCAAATGCAACAGATAGGCTGCCGCCATCCCCACGCTAGTCAGAACTCGGAATACGGCTTATTTGACAGTTTATCAGAGGGTTTTCTCCCTTTCTAACAGGCTCCTTTTACATTTGATACAGCCAAGCTGCATCTTTTCTGTTCGTGGTAACGTACTGCAGCCTGCAGCAGCAGCTGGGGACGGTAGATCTGTCTGTCCCCTCTTTCCGTCCAGTTTGGAGCTGCATGTTTTCCACTGCGTCTCCTATGCCTCTAGCTGCTTGTAGGATGCAGCTGCCCAACAAGCCTTCCCGACATGCTACATTATGGTCAGTTACCTCATTATTAAAGAAGAGTATTTCGGACAGCTTTTGCCAATCTCTCAAAACTAAATAACCAAGCAAAGCTTCACATCCAACTGCCAATAGGAATACATATATATTAGGAAGTTGGACTGGATTTCAGTTTCTGCTCTACAAATTTAGTTGGGGAAAAAGACAACTTCCATAGAAACAGAGAAACTGAACAAAGTTGCTAGAGTTTTCTAGGCTGCGAGCTCTAGCTCTCTTCTTTCAGTAGTGATCAGGCTGTAACGTTATCTGTAAGCATCCATCCGCAGAGGAGTAATACCTACGCTTTAAGTAGCAAGGCCGCTTGAATGGATATTGAGAGCACTGAATTCACCACTGCTGGTATGCAGTTTAAGGCTTTACTCAGCCACAGAGAGAATCTCAGCATCTTGCACCTCCTCTTATGCTGCATTTGTGAAATGCTCTCTCCATCAAAAGCATACTCAGACACGTACTTTCAGCTCCCCTTGATCAAAAGATGTTGACGCTTATCCCTGACTACTTGTATGCAACAAACAGGATCAGGTGGGCCTCCGCACACTTCCTTGCGCTGCAGAGGTGGGCTCCACATCACGCTCAGAGGTTGGCCAGCCGCCACCAGGACCCTGTCCCTGTGTAGACCAAGTGGTAGCAATGTAATATTTCGAGGAGTGGAAGGGCTACCAACGGACCAGCAAAGCAGTCTAAGGAGCTTGATACTGTGGCCTTCCATACAAAAACAAACAGGTTTGAGGAAGACTTCATTCCCGCCCACTTCCTTCACTCCTTAACAGCTGGTAAGTTCTAGGGAGCAAAAAGAAGTCACAAAACAATCCACATCGCCATCCTCCTCCTTCCCCATCACTAGAGCAGTAACATGGTAATAGAGTGGCGAAAGTCAAGTTCTCCAGAGTCGCTCAGGCAGGCGCATCGTAGAAAGGGACAAAAACCAAAGGAGGTTTTCTCCATACATTTGTTCTTCCCCGTTGCATGCTGTGACTGGAACCAAACCAACCAAAATCCTAACACTTCTAAGCTCAGGTCTCCAGCGTCAGTGCTCATCATGTTACCAACCACTCTGTTTGTGTTCTTTTAGTGCTTTTTTCCTGCCCACCAAGAATGGCTTTTAGATAACCTCATTGAACTCATTTAATGCAAATTAAAAGATTATTCTGATCGCTAAATACAGTATCGACATTTAAGAGTATTTTCATTGCACTGGGTGGAAACACTAGACACTCTCAAAAATGAATGAAAAAAGGTACAGAGCTGGCTCAAACAGTAAAAATTAAAGACTGTTCACAGAATAGTACATATTGACATTTTTAATGTAGGTATCTCATAATTTAATAAGAAAGTATTCTCTTGGCCAAAGAAGAAAAGCTGAGGTTTATTTTTGGTTGGTTGGTTCTGAAGTTATTGAGCAACCTTTACTTTATACACTTCAATTCAGCATTTAAAAAAAAAAAAGGGGGGGGGGGGGTAAGGGGTGGTGTAAACCCCCCTTCCCCAAACAGAGGCTCTTTTTCTGTATTCTAAGTAGTGTACTACTGACATTTATGGTCTCTTTTAAGGAAAGACTTTCATATAAATCAGAATTAATTTACACTTTGAGCTATCAAATTTTACTGCAGTTATGGAAAGAGAAAGAGGGGACAGGGAAGGCAGGAAGAAAGCAAGACAAGCTCTCACAGGGCTCATACTCAAAGAGTTCTTCCAAAGCAACTATGCCGCAGCAAGAAAAATTCAGATGGATATATCCACATGAATAGTAACTATTGCTAGCATAGCCTTCTTAGTGGCAGATTCTAGAGCAGCTTGACACTAGACTAAGATGAAGCCCGACTGTGTCCAGATTTAGATATAACCTAGCTCTCTTCATTAATGAAGTTTTCCTGCAAGGTAAAACATATTGTAGAACATTACATTAAAAATGGGACATTTATTCCTCTCTTGTAAGAAACTGAAGTTAAAAATAAAACAAAAACCCACCACTTTTGAAAGGAATGCCCTCACCATTTTTTCTGTTTTTCTTATTATGCCATTTTTAGCATTTGTTCAAATTGCTATTTTTCAGCCTTGCAGTCTCTCCAGTCTTAAAATTATGCAAAAACTCCAAGTTCTCTTTATTAATCTGTCTTTTAGGTGATTTCCACCCAAATTAATTCTAAAAATATAACAAAGAAAACCACTAACAGCACTAGGCTCACTGTCTTCCAGTTACCAGTGGTTACCACCCTACAAGCCACTGCTATACTGAAGTTAACTTTGTGAGGATTTTAAAAAAAAACACATTTACTTGAAAATAGTGTAATATACTATCCCAGACTAACAAAAGAACTACTCGCATTCTTCAGATTATAATTCAATGCCTTCTAGCTGCGGGTTTTACTCTCGCTCACGATATTGCTAGCAGCCTTCTTAGTGGCAGATTCTAGAGCAGCTTGACACTAGACTAAGATGAAGCCCGACTGTGTCCAGATTTAGATATAACCTAGCTCTCTTCATTAATGAAGTTTTCCTGCAAGGTAAAACATATTGTAGAACATTACATTAAAAATGGGACATTTATTCCTCTCTTGTAAGAAACTGAAGTTAAAAATAAAACAAAAACCCACCACTTTTGAAAGGAATGCCCTCACCATTTTTTCTGTTTTTCTTATTATGCCATTTTTAGCATTTGTTCAAATTGCTATTTTTCAGCCTTGCAGTCTCTCCAGTCTTAAAATTATGCAAAAACTCCAAGTTCTCTTTATTAATCTGTCTTTTAGGTGATTTCCACCCAAATTAATTCTAAAAATATAACAAAGAAAACCACTAACAGCACTAGGCTCACTGTCTTCCAGTTACCAGTGGTTACCACCCTACAAGCCACTGCTATACTGAAGTTAACTTTGTGAGGATTTTAAAAAAAAACACATTTACTTGAAAATAGTGTAATATACTATCCCAGACTAACAAAAGAACTACTCGCATTCTTCAGATTATAATTCAATGCCTTCTAGCTGCGGGTTTTACTCTCGCTCACGAGCAAGATCCACCCACTTACTTGCATCAATATGCTGCGCTGGTAACTTTGAGATGAGGCAGGGGATGAAGAACTCGCTTTTCTCAAAGCACACTGGGACATAACCAAATACCAAGGAATCCGTCACACTGATGAAGTGATAAAAAGTGTGTTTGGACTCTTGTTGCATAAACAGCAGCGTACCTGCTTACCACCACAAACTGAAGGCAGCTAAGTCTAAATAAAATCTTATCACTAGTAGCTGAGCACTATCCCAAACCTCTCCTTGTAATCTGAAAGGAAAATGATGAGTGTGACCCAGATGAATCACGCTCCCAGATGGACTTCCCAGTATTTTTTTCCTGGCTAGAAAGACGAAAATTTTTTCCAGCTTACTATGAAACAATAGCCATCTCAGCTTGCAGTACCGATGAACTTAAGCAAGTAGATCAAGAGTCTCCCTTGTAGGTGCAGCTTACTGAACATGAAAAAAAAGAGAGAAGCTTCATGCCTCCCAGCTAACCCCGCCGTGAATGAGAATATAATTTTGAGTGAATGACAAAAAGATCCCATTAAGCCTGAGAGCTCAGGAACATAAGAAATGCCCAGCTGGGTCAGACCAATGGTTCACCTAGTGCAGAATGCATCTCCAACAGGGCAGAAAAGGTGCTATTTAGAGAGAACCCATAAACCATGTTCTGTGGTCCACTCCCCTCACACTCTACCTGCTGACCATGAACTCTCCTAACCCGGTTTTGAACCTGCCTACACGGCCTGTTTTCAAAACATCCTCTGGCTGCAAGTTGCA